ACTCTTCTCCAACACCATAATTCAAAGTCATCAATTCTGTCATTCTTATTCTTGCCCAGCTCTCAGATTCATAGAAACGTTATTTTAGAAACCATGACCTACATAGGACACACCTTAGTCTTTAAACTGGCATTCTTGCTCCTCAATATTTTGGAGAGATCCCTGACTGTAGACTTTCCAAATGCAATACATCTCCTGACCTCTTGACTGCTGATACCAAGGGTGTTGATTGTGACTCCAAGTAAGATTAATTCATTGATAAAACTTTTCTCCATCTATCATAATGTTTTGTTTTCATGTTGAGATGCAATACATATTGAAGGCTTTAGTCTTTGATCTTCTGCAGCAAACATTTCAATTCCTCCTCACTTTCAGCCAGCAAGGTTATGCCAACTGCTTGAAGCAGGTTGATATGTTTCCTCCAATACTGATGCCACATTCCTCTTTATATAGAGTCCAGTTTCTCAACTGACTTGCTCAGCATATATACTGAATAGATATGGAGAGAATACAATCCTAATGAACACCTTTCTTAATTTTAAACCATGTGGTATTCCTTTACTCTGTTAACACGACAGTCTCTTGGACTAGCCCTATGGACTAGGAAACCTAAATACAATTACCTAAGTGTATGGTTCTTTTTTCATATTCTTTCTAATATCTAGAATGTTAGTTTGGTGAGGACAAGAATATTATCTACGTCTTTCACTATGGCTAATACAGTGGTGTTTGATTTTATCCCTGGAGTCAAACTATTGTCACATAGTTGGAACTAACTTCCAGTGTGTTTTCTGGGTCTGTAAATTACCCAGAAAGAAATTGCCCATTTTTCCCCTGCAAAGAAGTTGATGGAATCAAACTGCCTGCCTTTGGGTTAGCAACATATCTCTTTAACTGCTAGGTCAGCAAAGCTCCTTAAAAGCAGGAGTTAGGTTACCTCGTTTGAATACTGGATACAACACTAGCTATGATCTTGAGAAAATCATTTAATCTCTCATGAATCAGTCACTTTATTATAAAAAGTCATTAAACAACATATGACCAAGAGGCAATGATGATAAAAGAGGAAGTTCAAGCCAGTCTAAAGGAATTGACAAAAAACAAGGCCCCAGGAATTGGTGGAATACCAATTGGATATCTCAGCAAACAGATGCTGCCCTAGATGAATTCACCAGTCTATGCCAGGAAATTTGGAAGACAGTTGTCTGACCAACTAACTGGAAGAAATCCATATTTATTTCCATCCAAAAAGAGGTAATCAAAGGGACTATGGGAATTATCCAACAATATCACTGATACCACACTCCAGCATAATCTTTCTGAAGATTATCCAAAAACCTCTGAACCAATACATTAACAGAGAACTGCCAGAAATATAAGCTGACTTTAGAAGATGTCATGGCACTGAAGACATCATAGCCAATGTCAGATAGATCTTGGCTGAAAGCAGAGAGTATTAGAGTAACGTCATTCTGTGTTTCATTGACTATGCAAAGGCATTTTACTGTGTGGATCACAACATATTGTGGCTAACCTTGAAGAGAATGAGGATCCCAGAACACTTGATTATGCTCATGCAAAATCTATACTTGGACCAGGAAGCAGTCCTAAGAACAGACCAAGGAAACACGGCATGGTTCACAATCAAAAAGGGAGTACATCAGGGATGCGTACTGTCTCCATACTTTTTCAATGTATATGCAGAACAAATCATTGGAGAAGCTAGATTTTTATGAGGAGGAGTTAGAGGAAGACTCATCAGCAACCTGCGTTATATAAATAACACAACCTTGCTTTGCCGAAACTGAGGAGGACCTGGAGCATTTGCTGCAGAAGGTATAGGACTGAAGCCTTCAGTGTGGATTGAAGCTTAAAATCAAGAAAACAAAGATTCCCACCATTGGGTCAACTGGCAGGATCATGGTACGTGGAGAAAAGATTGACATTGTTAAGAATTTCTGCTTGCTTAAATCCACAATCAACACTCTTGGCACTAGCAATCAGGAAATCAAATTACAATTTGCTTTGGAAAAAAATCTGCTGTCAGGGGCCTTTCCAGAGTGCTGAAGAGCAAGGATGTCAGTCTGCAGACTAAGGTGAACCTGAGGCAGTCGACGGTTTTTGCAATTACTTGCTATGCGTCAGAGAGCTGAACAATGAATAAGGATGACAGAAGAACAATCAATGACTTTAAGTTATGGTGCTGGAGGAGAGTATCAAACACACCATGGACTGCCAAGAGAACAAACAGGTCTGTCCTGGAGAGGTGAAAGCAAGTTGCTCCTTGGAGGCAAGGATTCTGAAGCTCCATCTGGCATACTTTGGGTGTGTTGCCCAGAAAAAATAGGTCCTTGGAGAAGGACATCATGCTTGGGAGGGTGGAGGGACAGGGAAGGAAGCGAATACACTAGATGAGATGAATTGACATAGTGACTAGGATAATGGGGGTAGGTGTATCAGAGACAGTGAGATTGGCTTAGGACGGGGCAAGTTTCCGAGCTATTGTGCATAGGGTCACTATGAGTCATAAATAACTTGAAAGCATATAACCGCAACAATAGTATCTGTCTCATTGGGTTGGGGTGAGGACCTGTTGAAATAATGTATGTAAAATATTTAACATACTGACACAAAAGCTGCCAAACACATGTTTTTCCATTGGTGTTTTTAATATTATTAAAATTACTTCTTCATGTGTGGTGTCTGGAATACAGTAGGTATTCAATAAGCATTTCATTATTAACTCTGTTATAATCCCATTGTTTTGAAAACCATTTCCACTCATAGTAATTCTGCAGAACAGAGTAGAAATGCTCCATTTTTTCCCAGGTTATAAGAACAATGAGTGCCACATCTTTCTTCCACAGAACAATAGAGAGGTTCAAACCACTGATCTCTCAGCAAAACAGAACCTAACCACTGTGATATTTGAGTTCTTAATGATTGGGAGAAGACTATTAATATATTAATGGAAAATGGGCTTGGTTTAAAGAAAGACAATATACTTTTATGTACTAGTCTGTATTTTATACTCATTGTTATGTGCCTTCATGTCGCTCGCAAGACATAGCGACCCTATGTACAACAGTCCTGAAATCTGTTCTATCCTGTGCCAACTTTACTGTCTCAGACACACTTTCTTTTTATTATTATTATTATTATTAAATTTTATTAGTTTTAATGAACATTTATCAGACACACTTTCATCACCCCAGTCACTGTATAAATCCATCTCATCGATAATTTCCTCTCTTTCTCCATCGCTCCACCCTTCCAGGCATGATGTCCCTCTCCAACATGCCCAAAATATGTAAGACAAAGCTTCAGAGTTCTTGTCTCCAAGGAACAGGTCAGCTTCACCCTCTCTAGGACGAATCTGTTTGTTCTCCTAGCAGTCCATAATATATTCAAAATTCTTCTCCAGCACCACAACTCAAAGGCATCAATTCTCTATCATCCCTAGTCATTGTCCAGCTTATATATATTTTTTTAATTTTTATTTTTTTATGTTTATATTTAACTTTTATCAAGGTATATAGGTATATCAAGTACCTTTACTTCTTTACTTTTGGGAGAAATTTGTTTTATTAGAATCATTAAATTCATTCTCAATAGCAATGTAGAAAATTTTCACCAATCTCCGAGGCATGCCGAACACTGTGACAGCTTGAATGAGTGCTGGCCTCTTGTTTTACTGAAGTGATGGTTGCAGCACCTTCAGGCCTGGATCTGCAGCATCCACCTGGCCACACTCTGTACCAAAGAGGCAGGATGATAATGATCGCAGCAGCACCCAATAGGTCTGACACTTTGATGCCTAGAAATACCTTGTTCACTCCCTTGAAGAATTGGAGGAGAAGCATGTATTCCTGGACCAAATATGGGCTCTAGCAGTAACCCCTCCATATGCATCATTGGCAGACTCTGCAGGTGCTTAGGCTGCAGCCACCACCTACGTGTGTCCTTTCCTTGGTGGCAGGACTGACAGAGGCCCATCTACCTCTATTTCCAAGTCCACTTGCCTTTTGAGTTGTTCTACCTTGCATTACTACTTGTTTAGAGTATGCCTCCTCCAGGTTCAAAAAACAGCAACCTTTCTCCAACTTCAGAGGCAGCCTGGGAGCGTGAGCTATATCAGATATCTTTAAAATATTGTTGTTGTTGTTATGTGCTGTTGAGTAGTGTATAAAAATAAGATAGTAGTATATGAAAGAGAAAAAGATTTGTTTTATAGCATGTTAAAGATTTCTTTTTGCCTCACTATCTGCTTTATATTGTTGTTATGTGCTATCGAGTAGCTTGTGACTCACAGTGACCTTATGTACAACAGCTCTAAACACTGCTTTATCCTGAACCAACCTTATTGTCTCTGACAGACCTACCCTTACAACCCCAGCTACTGAGTAAATCTAGATCGACAATCTTCCTCTCTTTCACTGTCCCTCCCCCTTCCAAAGCATGATGTCCCTCTCCAAAGAGGTCACTCCTTGAAGCATATCCAAAGCATATATAGCACATGAAGCCTCATAATCCTTGCCTCCAAGGAGCAGCCTGGTTTCACCCTCTTCAGGATCAACCTGTTTGTTTTCCTAGGAGTCCATGGTATATTCAATACTCTTCTTCAACACCACAGCTCAAAGGCATCAATTCTCTATCACTTGCTTCATATAGAAATACAAAGTTTCGCGAGACGAGGCGGGGACGAGCTGGGCTCCTCTTCCCCGTGTGGAGGTCGTTCGAGTCACCGGCTCGCCTCCAGCTCTTTCACCTGCAGGCCCACTCCCCGCCCGCCCAGCCACGCTCTCCGCCCTGGCCCGGCCCGCAGGCGCTGCCCTCCGCTGCAGCTTCAGCACCTCCGCCCAGAACAATGCTAAAGTCGCCGTGCTGGGGGCTTCGGGAAGAATCGGGCAGCCCCTTTCGTTCCTCTTGAAGAACAGCCCCCTGGTGAGCCGCCTGACCCTCTACGATATTGCTCACACGCCTGGAGTAGCCGCTGATCTGAGCCACATTGACACCAGAGCGCATGTGAAAGGCTACCTTGGACCAGAACAACTGCCAGACTGTCTGAAGGGCTGCGATGTGGTGGTTATTCCTGCAGGAGTCCCAAGAAAGCCAGGCATGACGCGGGATGACCTGTTCAACACCAACGCCACAATCGTGGCCACCCTGGCTGCTGCCTGTGCCCAGCATTGTCCTGAAGCCGTGATCTGCATCATTGCAAATCCGGTTAACTCCACCATCCCGATCACAGCAGAAGTTTTCAAGAAACATGGCGTGTACAATCCCAGTAAGATCTTCGGTGTGACGACCCTCGACATTGTCAGGGCCAACACTTTTGTTGCAGAACTGAAGGGTTTGGATCCAGCTCGAGTCAACGTCCCTGTGATTGGTGGCCATGCTGGGAAGACCATCATCCCCCTGATCTCTCAGTGCTCTCCCAAGGTGGACTTTCCCCAGGACCAGCTGACTGCCCTGACTGGTCGCATCCAGGAAGCGGGCACCGAGGTGGTGAAGGTTAAAGCCGGAGCAGGGTCCGCCACACTGTCCATGGCATATGCCGGCGCCCGGTTTGTCTTCTCCCTCGTGGATGCCATGAACAGAAAGGAAGGAGTTGTTGAGTGCTCCTTCGTCAAGTCCCAGGAGACAGACTGCACCTATTTCTCCACACCGCTAGTGCTGGGGGAAAAGGGCATCGAGAAGAATCTGGGCGTCGGCAAAATCTCCTCCTTCGAGGAGAAGATGATCGCCGAGGCGATCCCCGAGCTGAAAGCCTCCATCAAGAAAGGGGAGGATTTCGTGAAGAACATGAAATGAGAAAGCAGCCCGAGCGCGCCTGGTCGGTTTCCTTAATTTATTAAGGCATCATGTCACTGAAAAGCCATTTCAGATCCATCAGTATTTGTATTTGCTTTGATGATGTTTATTGTATTAACGTCATCTCTTCCAAATTGCTGGCTGGCCTCTTGATACACCAAAAAAGCAGGCTTTGATTTTCTTTAAAAAAAAAAAAAAAAGAAATACAAAATACATTTTTTTAGGTTAACATGCTTTATTACAAAATAGATTTTAATGTTTTTAATAGGTCATGCAAAAGTTAAATCCAATTAGTTCAAATTCGATATTTATACGTTTTGACCTAATACTTTGATTAATGAGTTTTTTGTTTTTTTTATTAATGAGTTTTTATACTTAAAATTTATTCTAAACTATAAGTAAATTACTCATAAATTATTACATCATTCATAGAAGTATTTTTTTACATTTCTTCTTTTAAAGTTATTTTTATTTTATATTAGTTTGCATGCAAAATTCATATACAATGTAATTCACACATTATTTCATTTACATTGTGTTATAGTGCTTTATAAAATTAATCACCATTAAGTGCAACAATGAATCGCTGGAAACCCTAAGTCTCCGTAAACTTTCATTAAAATTAATTTTTAAAAAAGTAAAAAATTAATCAACATTGATTTATACACACTTATACCTATATTTTCAGATCCCTGCTGGATCTTTACTCATTCCTTCATCCCCACCTCCTGCCCATCAATATTGAAGATCTTGTCATTTTCCCCTTCTCCCTCTTAAGCCATCTCCTTCCTTCTTAGGACCTTTTGTACACATCTTACTAGATACCCTTCTATTTTGACAATAATGGGCTTATATAGTATTTGTCATATGACTGAGACCAAAAGCTAGATCTTCTACCCTATATTTGGTCCCAGTTTTGTCTCTTAGGGTCTTTATGGTTTGAAGCTTTACCCAAGGTCTCTAATACTCCTTGAGTTGAGTTTTGTGCATAGAGTGAAATGTGGATCCTGCTTCAACTTTCTGCTATGAGTCCAGTTTTAACAGCACAATTTGTTGAAGGAGTTGTTGTTTCACCATTTGAAAGGCTTTGTTTCCTTGTAGAATTATCAGTTGACCATAGATGTTGTTGTTATGTGCCGTCGAGTCGCTTGCAACTCATAGTGACCCTATAGACAACAGTCCTAAACCCTGCTCTGTCCTGTGCCAGTCACACTGTCTCCAACACATCCAGCCCGATTACCCCAGTCACTGAATCAATCCACCTCATAGAGCGTCTTCCTCTCCTGCGCCGTCCCTCCACCCTCCCAAGCATGACATACCTCTCCAAGGACAGGTCCCTCCTTACAACCTGTCCAAAGTATGTTAGATGAAGCCTGAGGATCCTTGCCTCCAAGGAACAG